AGGAAATCAGGTATATAGTCGGATTTCAAGTTGATCTTATGTTGAAGCCAGAGGCGCTCGCGGCCAAGGGTGTCAGTGGCTTATATACTGTCGATTACTCGCAGGAGAACTTGCCAAAGTATATCTGGCAACCTCCGGAACAGAATCGGCCTCGAGACGGTGGCCAGACGATCAGTCGAGATGATGTTTCAACAGTTCTGAGCTCCATCAATACAAGCATGGAATCGGAGTTGACAAAGCGAATGTGGGATAAGGTATTATTGGAGAACACAGATGATGTTGTTCATGTTCTTTCACTCAAAGGCCTCTTCTTATACCTCTCACCTTCGAGTCGCCACGTCTTGGAGTACGATTCGTCTGAACTCGTTGGTACGGCACTTTCATCTGTCTGCCATCCCAGTGACATCGTTCCTGTCACTCGAGAACTCAAGGACACATCCGCTGGAGCTTCAGTCAACGTTGTATTTCGAATACGACGGAAGAATAGTGGCTACACCTGGTTCGAGAGCCATGGATCTCTATGCGTTGAGCAAGGCAAGGGACGAAAGTGTATCATACTGGTTGGCCGAGAGAGGCCTGTCTATGCCTTAGCTCGCCATGATGTGGAAGCCGCTGGTGGTATCGGGGAAAGTGAGATTTGGACGAAACTGTCAACTTCCGGCATGTTCCTGTTCCTTTCATCCAATGTCCGAACTCTGCTGGACCGGAACCCCGATGACCTTGTCGGGACTAGCATTCAAGCTCTCATGCGCCCCGAATCGAAAGTTGAGTTTGGCCGGTCTCTGGAGAAGGCGAGAACTGGGAAACGCGTTACACACAAGCACGAAATTCTCAACAAGAGAGGTTTGGTACTGCAAGCACAAACTACGCTGTATCCGGGAGATGCTGCGGAAGGCCAGAAACCTACGTTTCTGGTTGCTCAAACGCGCTTGCTGAAGAGTTCCTCTCGTTCTGTCGCACCGGCCTTGGTTTCTCATAACAGTAGCGCCTCGAAAGGCTTGAGCTCGTTAGGTAACCACCCCTCTGAAGAAGGGACTCCCATCAGCCATCCCTCAGGATTATCGTCTGGACCTCCTCCAGATGGGTCAACCCCAACCTCCTCCCAAATGGTACCAGCGCAAATGATGGGCGCTGTCACTCAAGCTGGTGGTCCTCGACTACCGATTGGGAGCCAAGATCTCATTCTTGCTTCAGAGGACAACATATTCGACGAGTTGAAGACGACTCGCTGCACAAGTTGGCAATTCGAACTTCGACAGATGGAGAAGAGCAATCGAATCTTGGCTGAAGAGCTTGCGGCTTTGCTGCAAAACAAGAAGAAACGCAAGCGGCGCAAGGGAGGATCGACGACACGCGACTGCGCAAACTGCCATACTCGAGTGACGCCAGAATGGAGGCGAGGGCCAAGCGGGAACAGGGATCTGTGCAATAGTTGCGGTCTGCGGTGGGCTAAACAGGTGAGTGGCAGGACTTCTGATCACAGTAGCACTGTCCGACGATCATCGTATAAGGGGTTGTCCCAGTCAGACTCGTCCACATCTCGAAGTTAATCAGCTCGACGATTACCCATAACATACCCTCCCCTAAGACCATCACCATCGCGGTTGCTTTGCTATTTCTATCGATATTTGCTACCATTCTCGGCGGAGAAATAATTTGGGGATGAAGAAGTTTGAGAGTACGAAATTGAAAATACGAGGCAAGATGCCGTATTACTTTCGATTAGCGCCCCGCCTGTTCTACCCTGTTCTGTTCTATACCCACGCCCTCGTCTTTTGCTCTGTCTTACTTGCTCGCCCTGTCCTGCTGCTCTTAGTAAATGTCAGCGTCCCATTACACTCTGTCTCACCACCTACTTCCATTCCTATCTTCCTTTCATTCGTCAAATCACTATATTCTGTCACATCGCCAGCGCAACACCCCACTAACCCAAAATCAAACAGACCGGCCGCGTCTCGCCCCGTACCTCTACCCGCGGCGACAGCAGCTCCAAACCCTCGCAGACGCAGAACAACAGCCAGACCCAATCCCAGCACTCCAACTCACCAGTCCACTCTTCTCCCCTTGCACAAGAGTTGCCCCCCATCCAAAGCACGTCCAACACCCCGAATCTAAACAGGGAGATAGAGAAGGAGGGCGATATGAAGGGTGATGGTGCTGCGGTGCCGGGGAGCCTAGGTGGGCGGAGCACGGTGGACAGCAGGCCGGTGCATGGACTTAGTCAGGGTTTTCGGGAGGGAGGCCAGAGAGGCATTACGAGAATTAGAGAGGAGGGGGCCTAAGTTTCTAGCCACTCTCTTTGAATCTGTTGGTTCTATCATTGCACAGATATGGAAGAAAGTAATGTTTGATGTTCGAACTTAATCTCACTTGACGAGAAACGAGAGGGAGGAGGAATTTTATTTGCTATCCTTGGCGCTGGTGGAGCCGGAGTCCTCTTGCAGGGTTAGCGTTTTCGTTGCTTTTCAGGGGAGTTGGGCCGGGCGGTGGCTTTTTGTTATCGTTACGATTCATGCACCATGGGGATGGGAGGCTTAGATAGTATATTTAGTTTGAATGAGCATAGCTGCTTTCGCTTCTCACTTCTCGCGAGTCTTTTCTTCGCTTTGCAGTTGTGCAGGTCGGAGGGCATCTTCAGCAAGGCTGGATTGTGGTGAGAGATGTTCGCTTAGTGGTAAGCGAGCACTAAAGGGGGCCTCTTCTTGCACTTTGTTCACACTTCACTCAGGCGATGAAATCAGAAATCATTTTCAGATATGTAGTACCCGTTACAGTATCTCTTAAGCGCTTGGAACCAGGGGATGCGACATTGATGAAAGCATTTCTTGACATCTTTACCAGGTTGAGGGATAGTTTGCGGCATCGGAATATTATCAATTGTGCGCAAGCGTAAGAAAGCCTTCTGACGGATCTGGTGTCGTGTTACTTGATCTGAGTAAGGGAGTGGAAACTGCAAAAATGTAATTTTCTTTTAGCATGAGATATGTCATCTTGGGAGCTGGAAGACCCGGAGTGTTGTGGTTGAGATGCTGTGGGTGAAACTGCAGATATAAAACTCTCGGTCTTTGAAGGTTAAAATTGATGATTATGAGTTCTCTGCATCATGATAAAAAGCTTTATTCTGCTTACCGCTCTGTATCAGCACACAAAATCCCATCTAGTACATAGCATACGTTCTCGCAATGGACATAAAAAGCCACACTGACCTGCATTGTCCTCAGCCAAACTGGGATAATAGAGCTGAGCTTTGAGAAAATAGCCCAAGACTTCCAAGATTTATGTCTGTTTTTAATTATTCAAGACCTTGGAGGAACATGCGAAGTAGAGCTTGTCAAATTGTCCTTCTTAGGGCTGGGACATTTAGTGCCGCTTTTATTTTGTCTACATTGAGCTGCCATAAGCATTATCCTGCTCCGGAATTTGAGAAACACATGTGCTTGTAAGCTTAATCCCAAGCTATTGTAAGAAAAAAAATTGTATATATAAAAAATCTGCCAGCTTTGAGAAACCTCTCGAAATTTAAAGAATTTCTAAAAAGATTTCAAGTGAGAATGTTTGATTATCCAGCTATTCATTTGCTCATCATCAATCAAATGTAAATCAAAATGGTGAAAATTATCCCGATTTTTGAACTACCCGCCCTCTCAGGACCTCAATTACAAAGCACAGGCGCCTGCCCAACCCACTCACTGTCCTCCCCTATCTCGCTCAGCACCCAAGCCGCCATACTCTTCCTAGTCAAAAACATCCCGTCCTTACCACTCCCGGTAAACGTCGCCGTGACAGCTTGCTCCTCTCCATTCCCCAGGAACGGAACTCGGAACAGGGTCCACTTGATCTTATCGACGTCTTGCGAGGTCACGAATTCGCCGAGACCGTTGAATTCTGCATAGGCGGAGCCGCCGATCAGCTTGATGGCAAAGATCAAGGCGGGCCATTTCCAAGATGGTTTGTCGGGAGGGGCGGGGAAAGAACAAGTTCCGAGGACGAGGGCCCGGTTAAAATTGTTTTGGATTAGGAGGGGGAAGAGGAGTTTCATTCCGTCCGTCACGGCCTGGGGTCGTTGTTAGTCGCATCTCTTGAGAAGCTGTGTATTCTCCTCCAGGAAAGAAACGTCATACGGAGCAAGAGAGGTTTTGACAAAAGCATATGATCTTCATTCGAGACTCACAGTTCCTCTCGGCCAACCGGTCGGCCCAGCGAAAGACACGAAAATGGTAGCACCACACGAAGCAGCAGTCTTCAACGTGGCTTCATTTTCGAGAGTCCCTTCGATTACATTAACGTTTGAATTGCTGGAAATATCTTCGGGAACCTTGGCTGGATTCCGGACGTAGAGAGTGAGGGTATGGTTGTGGGGTGGTGAGAGGGCGAGGTTACAGAAATTGACCCCCGTTTGTCCTTGATTGGTCAGTTGAAAATCGAAGCTGGAGAGGACAGGGAGGAATACCAGTTGCACCCAAGACGAGAATATGTGAAGGCATGGCTTGGAGATGTGCTCGTGTTGAGAAGCTTCGTGGTTTGATGTTGTGCTCTCAGGAGCTTGGATGTTAAGTTTGAAGGAGACTTTGTCTTAGGGTGGTCTGAGGTCATTTACCAATGGTCGTACGAACGGTTATTGGAGGGGAGACTCTGATAACTTGTCCGAACCAGAAATTAGGGGTGGCGTATCAGTTGAAAATAAGGGTAGAAGTGGTTTGCAAACCAAGAACTGTCAAGAGAAAAAGCAAGTTGAGGAGTGCGAAAGTGCGGGGTGATCACGTGCGTCGACCCCTTTGGGTGTTTATCCTGAATGGCTTTAATCTTTCAGGGTTAAAGGGTAGAGCTGACGAATGGAAGCTTAAATTAGAGTATGAACTGATGTAGTTTCTTTGCAGGTTTCGTAGATTGGTATATAGGAGGCTCGCTTTTTCAATGCCGACCTCCGTTCCTTCCCAACTCACTTCACTTTCGACCTTGCCTTCATAACTTACAATAACAGGGTTCCAGATCAATTACAAGGACGCTTGGTGTAGTGGTAGCATTTCTGATTCCAGTGTTTTCATCCAATGAATTCGGGAATTCCAGACGGTCACCTGTTCAAATCGGGTAGCGTTCACTACTTTGTTTGGAGTGTATTTTTTTTATGTTTTGCTTTTTCAGGATTTGACTCTCTTCTATCTCCCATAAAAGACATACTGAACGTGTTTTCCAGATGTCGAATATTTTGTATCATTTTTGTATTAGGAACAAGCGAAGTGAAATGGGCTGGGAAGAGGTGAGGTCTACAAACGGAAGGAAGGGGCAAACGGATAAGCGAGACCTGCTCTGCTTGAGCAACCCAGCCTCGAGGTAAACGAGGATGCAAGAATGGAATGATGGCTTTGGGACGGAAAGAAGCATTAGAGGTCATTCATAGTCTGCAATGGAGCAACAATCCATGGTGCAGAAGAGTGCATCCAAATGTAGCGGATGCAGAAAGTCTCGGATGTTTGCATTCAGAATGACAGGAACTTGCTCAGATACTTGCTGGAGCCCCATGCCTAGCACTTCAGGGCTTACTTCAAGGCAAGCAGACGTCTTTTCCCCGCCAATTACAGTTTAATCCTCTCTCAGCATGCTATTTATGCATGATATCAAGATTGAAATGGAGCCTAAGAAAGTGAAATCGAAGAGTTACATTTCGAGACCCATTCAAGATCTCCTATGCACCTGTGCGCGTCGAGAAGGTAACTCAGTTGCCGATGAACAGATTGCATAGATTCTAGGCAATGCTGGGTATTCTTCTATGAGAAGCACAAATGAACATGCCTGTATACCAATGATGCAATGAAAACCGTAATAATCGTAATCCTGAACGGACAGGAAAATTGTAAAGGAACTCTCTACTTCTTTGCCTTGCCCTTGCCTTTCGCGGGACCCAGAGCAGCCTCTCTTCGCTTTGCCTCCCGAGCATCAATCTCTGCCTTCTTGGCTTTCTCAGCCTCTTCTCGTTCTTCCTTCTCGGCCTAAAAATGGTTAATATTTGGAGTGAATGGCGAGATGGAACAGAACTAACCTGCTTCCGGGCAGCCTCAGCTTCTCTCTTCTCTTTAATCAACTTCAGTCTGGCCAAATCTGCCTTCGCCTCATCGGTCTTTCCAGCCTCATGCAACTTCTGATATCGCTCTTTTGCCTGCTGTGCCTGTATTGCCTCCCTCTCTCTACGACTCAATTCCGCAGGCGGCTTTCCCTTCCCTTTCCCACCCACACTCAAATCCTTGACACCTTCAGCAGCCTCATCCACAGTGACCGGCGCAGCCTTAGCCTGATTCCTGGCAGCTTTTGAATGGTTCGGGTTGGCAGGCATATCATCCTCACTCTCTTCCTCGGAGCTGGACGGCAGATCACCTGGTTGGGCAACTGTACCCTTCTTGCGGGCGATAGCAGCCTCCTTCTTCGCCTTTGCGGCAGCGCGACGCTCCTCACGGGTCAGGGTTGGCTTGTTGGCATCTTCCTCCTCAGAGGACTCTTCTTCGGAGTCATCTTCCTCTTCTTCCGACGAGCTGGCGTCGGGGTTCTTTTCGTTGATTTCGTTTCCGTCAGCGTCGAGGGGTCGAAGGTTACGGGAGAAATGCTTGCCGCCTGGGAAGATGTTAGGCAAGGTTGCCAAAATATAAGGGACATGAGGGCGACTTACCACCTCTGGTGAACTTCTTGAATTTGCCTCCGCGCCCACGACCTGCAGCACCTGGGGGTCCTCCTGGAGCCATTGTGCGTGTGGGAGGTTGGGTAACCTGCGTGAGATCGGTCTGAAGATACTGGTCTAAGGTAGTTTAGGAGTGATAGAGCGAGACCGAGGTGGGTGAGATTTCTTGAAGACGAGGACGTTTTGACCCACAGGTGATGTATTTATCCCTCGAGGAGTCAGTCCGAATACCCCTCCAGCCCACATCGAGATGCCGCAGTATCTTTCGGGACTAGCTCTACGCTAGTTATTAGTCACATGACAGTTCCGAAAATTTCGCCTCAAATTCTTGTCGGATCTCAAACTCTTCTTTCCTCTTTACATAAAACTACAATCCTTCATATTCACTCTGACTTTCGTCTACTTCAATGGCAGGTCTTGGAGGGGAAATTGGAGGAAAGAGGAGAATTATAATCGTTTATACTTACCCTCCAGCCTGCGGCATGAGAATGCATCGGGTGGGAGAAATATGAACAACGGGACATTCACGAGCGAGGGCTCATTGATTTGATAGGCAGAGGCCAAAGGGTACATTGCGCTTGCCAGTAGCCATATGGACTCCGTAGAAGGCTTCTTGCCTCTGGTGCGTGCCGCATTTGGATCCGTCCAACAAAGGAATCTGCTTTGAGGACTGGTAGGACCCACCAATCGTCACGTTTTTTTTTTCTCTTTTACGAAAATGCCATGTCTGCATTCAATGATACAGTTTCTTTGTCTTCTCGTGGCTTTCGCACTGCCGGCTTCTAAGGAGGCTTCATCAGTATGATTCACAGGCATTTGCAGCAAGGAAACCACGGAGTTCATGCTTCGCTTTCATAAATTTCAAACTTCATTTCCCATCAGAAAAGGAAATACTTTGCAAGTTCTAAACATGATGGGCACCTGTGGGCACGAAGAATGCTATATTTCCACACCTCCGGTCCTCGAATTCATGCTCGAAGAATTCCCTCTCGTTATACCAAATGAGATCATTGATCGCTCGATTCCAAGATGTAAACTTTGCGACCTCATTGCCGCAAGTACACGAGAATCAACTGCAGTATATCCTCCTCCAACGTACTCCAGTCCCATTGAAGGCCTCCAGAATCACATTGCATCGGCGGAGCAGCTGATTGGGGAGGGCATCCGAAAGGAAGAGCTCGAAGCAACATTGCCGTCGATGAAACAAATATTGGCAGATGAGATCAGGGCTACAGAATTGAGGATGCTAGAGGTGTGGAAAGAGCATTGGGCGATTTGGGGACCTGGGGAAGGACCTGAGGTTCCAAATGAGTATCCAACGGAAGTAGTGCTTGAGGATGTCGTGGAAGAATACCCTAAGGATACAGGAGGAAAGAAACGAAAGGCTCCATTGAATATGAAGGGGAGAGCCCCTGGGAAGAGGGCCAGGAAAGCCTGATCGATGACAGATGCCGGTTGAAATTGGGGAGGTTATAATGAATGTTTCGAACGGTCTTCAGGTAATTTGTATACTTTGTACAGCAATCAATGCCAGACTTTACCATTACGTTATGCCTTCTCCTCACGATTTAGACTATTTGGACAATGAGACCGTGTTTACTTCACGAGTATTTGCAAAACAAGAAATCTGCCTTCCAAGGATATTGGCAAGTCACGTGGGTGGGCTGTGCAGCTTATGACGAAGCTTGACAACATTTCTAGGTCATCTCACTTTGCGCTCTGCAGTCCACCACCCAGTATGGCAGGCTTCCTACGCGGAAAGCAAGCTGGTATCCAAAATGACCTTTCTGCTGCAATACTTCCGGGCCTTTTTGCGCCAGATGATCAGGCTCGATTTGGTATAAACTCGCAGATTAGGTATGTTGAAGCTCGAGAACCCCGCCAAGCCCCTCGCTGACCATACTGCCACAACCAGCTGCTTAGCATACAACCCCGTACAATCCCTCCTCGCGATAGGGACGAATGAAAGCAGCTTTGGCAGCGGGCAAATCTACATCTTCGGTCAGAATCGCGTGCAAGTCGTCCTCCCGCTGCCCCGCCGAGCTTCAGTCAAGACCCTCCAATTCGTCTCCGACCGCCTCATAAGCCTCGACTCGAAGAACGAACTGATAATATGGGATCTGGCAACGGGAAAGAAGATTGCCAACTACTCGCCGCCGGGCGTAGTTATGGCGTTAGTGACTGATCCCATGCTGGACTGGGCGCTGATTGGGCTACAAAATGGAGAGGTTATTGCCTTTGACATCGACCGGGAGAAGCTGGCACCACTACGGCTACCAAATTTCTGGAGGGAGCGTAATCCAAGATCACGGATGCTGTCTATTGTTTCTATGCAATTACATCCGCGGGACATTGGCCAGCTCTTGATAGGTTATACCGAAGGTGCTTGTATCTACTCGTTCAAGCAGGCTAGACCGATCAAATACTTCGATTATGAGGTACCTGTTGGGGCACCTGGAGGTGATTCAGATCCTCTGGCGGCTGAGAAGGCACGAAAACCACGCCTGACAAGTGTCTTCTGGCATCCTACTGGAACATTTGTTGGCACAGCATATGATGATGCGAGTATGGTGTTTTGGGATCCCAAAGATGGTAGGATCGTAATGGCCAGAACTCTGACAGACTGCCATGTCGACAAGCCAGGAACGACATCAAATTCGTTTGGCAACACTCCAGGTACTTTCGCTATAAAAGAGCCGTTTGCAAGGATTGCATGGTGTTGCAAAGACAATCCTGATGATACCGGTATTCTGATTGCTGGTGGTGCACCGACTACACTCCCACAAAAAGGATTGACGTTTCTTGAACTAGGACCTACTCCAGTCTACGCAACATCAACTTGGCCTATCCTTACAGATCACTTCCAAACGAAAAAGCAACATTTTCTTCCTACTCCCGAAGGTGCCGAGATCGTGGACTTCTGCCTTGTTCCTCGTCAATCGCCGCATTTTGCTGGAGCACAAAACCCTATTGCTGTCATTGCTCTTTTGACCTCAGGAGAGCTTATAACGTTGAGCTTCCCTTCTGGATACCCCATTTCACCAACAAACCAACTACATCCTTCGGTCTGCTTTGTGCATCCGTTTGTTACATCAATAGCTGTCACACCGGTTGATAGAGGCAGGTGGCTAGGCATGACTGAAAACCGACAGCAAGGACCTCAGTTAGTAAAGGGTGGTGCAGAGGCTACACATCCTATGAAGAGATTTGAAGCTCGCAATATCATCCAGATGGCTCACGGTGACGGCACGGTCCGAATTTGGGATGCTGGACATGCCGATGAGCTTGAGAATAGCACTGTTCTGCAGGTCGATATCGCCAGAGCTCTTGCTCGATACAACGATGTCAATATTACAACTATGAGTATGGGAAGCAGTACTGGCGAATTTGCCGTTGGTACCACTGCTGGTGAGGTTGTCATTTATCGGTGG